TTTTTTTTTTTGGAGGGGGGGGGGAGGACAGACCTTGAAAGAAAATTATTATACTTAAGAGGAGAAGCTTTAAACTGCAACAAATACAGTACTGGAGATTTGTCACTTTTCTTTTAAAATTATTCACTTTTGTGTGAGTTTTGTAGTGAATTTTTTCATACTGGTACATATTTTATTTCAAAATTTTGTTTGGCATATTTTCATGTCACTTAATTTTTTTCATGTAGTACACATTAATTGGATTGAAATTTTGAGAAATATCAACTTTTTGCAGGTCCTTCTACCAAGAAGATGAATGTTGTTCATGTGATTCTTGGGTTGATCTTAACTGCAGTGCTGTTGCTTTTGATTGGTGTCTGTGTGTTTAGACGACGCAGGAAGAAATCACGCGACAAAAAACAGGACTTGGAGCAGGAAGTTCATTTTATTCGAGGCAGCACAGTAGATGATGAAAATCTCTTTACACAGCCAAATCATTCGCAAGATACCAATCCTAAAGTTTCCACAGTGTGACAGTAGCCTGACATAAAATATTATAAGAGCATAATGCAAATGATCCTCTGTGGTGACGTATGAGTATTGTCTGGCACAATATGTTGTTTGCATGGAGATGCAGGAAAGAGCAAGAACACACATGCCTTGCTCGAGTTGTTGGATTGGTATAAATTGTCTATGCAGGTCTGACTTTACTGGGAAAGTTGCAGACAGAACTGTGAACAATTATTTCTTGGAGAAGGTTCTAATATTGAGATTGTGAACCATTTCTCACTGTATATAGATCAGTCTTATGATTATTGGTGCATCTCGTTGGGTTGGCTTAAAGTCATGAATTAAGTGTATGAATGGTGAGATGACATTGTTTTTTTACATCTCTTGGTGTGAAGGTAATGCATTTATTTCCAATCAAACGTAAAAGACAACTTCGATGAGTAGGAGGGATATTTTTGTAAATGAAAACATGTTCTTACAGAGCCTATGACCACAGTACCCTGGATAGTTTTTGATTATTATTTATATTGTACTAAGTCTTTCTTGCAGCAAGCCCATAGGCAGGGTGTTTGGAGATCTTACAGACTGCCTGGATCAAAATTTGATCTAGATTCTGTTACAGCTGTGGTAAAAAGGTCCACTATTTAAAAAAATCCACACCTTTGCAGTTGCTGGCTATAGGCTTGTGGTACAAATGTATAATTATACAACTAAAAATTCAGACTTCACTATTGTCATATTCCAACTATATTCCTTACCTTCGGGTCAAAATTCCTTCAAGATGCTCATCAGTTTATGTAACCCATTTGGAAGAAATTACATCATTCACAGAAAAATCAAACCCAAGTCTGTTAATTCCTCTTTTCAATGAATTCAGATAATTATTTTTGATCGGAAAAGACCCATTGTCTTTATAAGTGAATCTTGTCATCTAATGACTCTCTTTCAGACAGTTTCCTGGCATTCAAGACTGTGTGATTCTAATTAATAGCTACATGTATTTTCTCTGAATATCTTACTCAGGCTTTGGAAGTTCTAGGATTAAAATATAAACTCAAGTGCTACTATTTTTCTACAAGCTGTCATTATTATTATACACATTTAACCATGGTCTATATATATGTATGGTCTTTTCAAGCTGTAGGTATTTGTATTAAAAGGATAACAACTGTTCATTTTGGCCAAAAAATTAATTTTCCTGGGGTAAAGGACAATTTTCCCATACTTACCAATGGTTAATAAATCCATTTCTACATTCAAAATTAGTCACTGTTTTTTTTTCAAAAAAGTTTGTTTTTTTGTAATAATCTCTTAAGAGATTATTACAGAGTATAGCCATCTATGGAGGTCACGTGGTCTGATGACAAGCAGACTTCAGAATAATTGCTATAACTGTCGTTTTTGTTAATAGAATATATTATGTTTCTATGAGTTGTTTACAATGTATTTACTATGAAATATGAATGTCATACGAACAGTTGTTATCCCTTTAATTTTAATAAGATTAATAGAATGAAAACATTCATAGTTTCATCAGATTGCACTAGTATGGAATAACTTGCATACATTTGTAAAAGAGAAAAAAATGAATATATAAAATAATGAATTAATAAAGAATCAAAAGAGAAAGTCTAGGTAGAAGGAATTTTTCTGGCAAATATTTACTTTAGATTTGAAAGGGATTTTATTTCTGCTGCTGCAGTAGAGGAAAGTAAATAAGCAAAAAAGTTTCATTTTGGTGTATTGTGATACAACTTTAGTTTCTTTGGTGAGAAAATATTGTCTGTGTCGTTGCTTATAAAATTATTTTATAAAATTGCCCCTCCATGACAGATTAATGGCCTTGCTTTCTCTTTAAGTCAAAAACAAGTAAGGTATCACTTGAAATCCTATTAAAATGTATAGACCATGTGCGTATACAGAAGTCTTGTTTAATACAGACTTTAGACAACTTTTATAGATTTCAGTTCACTTGAGGACAAGCTGATTTAAAAGCACACATTATACCTAAAAATGTACAAAATCATCAAAGATTTACCAAAAGTCCAAACCCATTGCGTGCCTTTTCATGGAATTTGATGCACCAATACACTTGAAAAAAGTCAATTTGGAAATAGGCAAATAAATACTTGGCAATTTATCCTCAAATTCAACTTAAGTTGTATATCGTTTTTATTATATATACCACAAAAATGGTTCTGAGGTAGTATGAAAATAAAATAAATAAAATAAACTTATGTGTACAATAACTTGTACACTTGTGCCCTTTTAGCCAAGAGTGTGTTTCGGAGGCAAAGACACTTATAGGTAAACTGATAATTTGGAAATTACAATAAAAGTTGACTATATCAAACATTTCTAAAACAACTTTTTATTTCAACAAAAATTTTCAAAATAAACATTGATACCAATTGCTCCTTGGTAAAGTGAAAAAATATAAAATCAATAAGTCATTTAAGTCAACAACTAATGCTGATACTGACAAATAATGAGCAGGAAATTTTCACAATTCATTTTTGAAAAAAGCTGCCAATTTTTAAAAAAATATTCATTTTATCAATACACAACTGCCTTGGTGTTTTTGGTTTTGCATTAAACACAACATAAACTCTCACAAATTCCTTGTCTTGAATAAATAAAACAAATATCAGACCTATTCCTTATAAACAATGAACAATGGCACACGTCCTATGCCAAATCTATCCCCCCCCAAAAAAAAAAAAAAAAAATTGATGCATGCTTATTACTGCATTGCCATACAATGGAATATTCCATTACTAAAATAATAACAGTAAAGATTTGAATTTTAAAAATCCCCTCTTTGTTCAGCTGGCAGTAATTTAACTCGAACTAGTCAATATGTATTTTGCATTCACTAGTTAATAATCCATAACAAATTTCAGTTCACAACACTGAATACCTAGTTTTGTTCTTTTACAAATGATCCTATTGAAAGACATATATTGCTCATTCATTTCAATTTGAAAACTGGGTTTATCTGAGAAAAAAAGATAAAAGAGAAAAAAAGATGCCCCTTTGTCTCAATATAATAACCAAGAAACAAGAAAGATTCACGCGTTTTTAATGTTCACAAATACTTTTCTACATTGCTTAGATTTTGGGTGTATTTATGTTTAAATAAGGAATGTGCCAAGAATAAATGTTTTCACCAATTGCTGCTTTCCCTAGTTGGCATGGATGTCCTTTAAGTGATAATCAATATGGCATATAATAATAATGACAGTAATCTGTAGTCCAGTAAAAAATATTACATTGCATGTGTTCTGGTCTACCTGCTCTATTCTAACATGCCTGCAAACATTAATGAGACATTTCACACCTCATCACCTCTATGTCACAGCTCATCTCTTATTTCTTCTGCCGTTTCATTTTCGTCTGGCTCATCTAGCTTTCCCATTAAGTCATCATACTTGATCAGCAGCTCTTGAACCTTCTCCCATGCCTGGAACATTGAATTACTGGAATGACTACGAGATGTCACTGTTGATTGTGATGGTACATGTAGTTCAGTTTGGTGCAAATATCAACACTTACCTTTGTTTTTGTTTACCACACCAAAGCAATTTGATGTAGATTTGTATAGCATTGCAATTGAATTGATTTGTTAAAAACATTTAATATTTAATTACTGATTTCTGAAATGACTAGGAGATGTGACTGCTGTTTGATTTAGTACAAGTATTATACAGAATCTTGTTTACCACTCTAAAGAGGTTAAAGGTTCTCTCCACAGGAATTTTCCACCAAAATGAATTTTTCTGGGGTAAAGAGCAATTTTCTCTTACTCACAAAGGATAGCTTGGCCCGTCCCTGTACTTGGATTTGATGTCTCATTCCATTTTTAATTTCATATGTTAGTGCTGTTTGAAATGACTGGCCAGTCAAACAGAACGACATCTGCTGTCACGTGCAATGCCTCGTTCTCACACGAGAAAATGTGCCATGTATAATACAGATGTTGGGAGCATGCAATGGCTACCCAATGAGGCTGAGTAGAAAGTAACGACACTAGGTACGCTTCTGATAAACTTTCATTTAAAGGGTTTTATCATCTTTAGGGATTGAATTGGAAAACATAAGAAGCTTTACAGGACATAAATATGACTGTGGAAGATTTTCAGACACATGAAGAGAACCTTTAAGTGGTTCCCTAAAGATCTATGAAATGATCTGTGGAAGAAAAACATTACAGATTAAAGACATGCAGTATGGAATTTGACAGAAAAACCTCTACCTCAATACTTGTTTTTTCAACTTCTTTATACTCCAGCTTCTGGCTTTTGTCTGCATCTAAAATTCTGAATATCTAGGGAAAGGGGAAAAGGCAATATAAGGCTTCG